GCACCACGAGATAGAGAGAAACACAGAGAGCGTGCTAAGGGTGAGAGTTGAGTTGAGTAGAGAAGTTTTCTCCTCCTCCTTGTTTTGTTGTTTGTATTGCTTTTGAGCTTGATTAATACAAACCAGTAGCTCCGTGGAGTAGGCAAGTTGCTGAACCACGTAAATTTGTGTGTGTTTGAATGTTTGGATCTCCTAACAGATAGATGGTAGGCTAACACTTTCTGGTTTGATTGGCTTCCTCCACTGAGCTATTGAAGTCCTATTATAAAATTTCACTGCACTATGTGCTTTACATTGATAATGGATCCAGATTGCTACAATATCCATGCTATAGATTATATGGGCAGCAGGGCATCTAATTTCTCAGTTGTTACTTGTTTTCGAAAGCTTCTGATGGCCAATCGAATTGATTGGTTTGGCATGAGTGACAACAACGACGACAATGATGGTGACAGTGATATTGATGGTGACTTTTATGATGATTGTAGTGACAACAGTTTTAATGAAAATATTGCAATTCACGATAATTGCAATTCATGACGACGGGTTGGGTTAGGAGATGCATTGTTACCGCCCGGCCTATTGAAAAGTGGTAAGAGTAAATGTACATAGTATAGGGTGTTAGCTTTAACTATTTTGAGCTGTCTTGCAAATTTCCATGTCTAACCAGCTATATTATTCTGTATTTAAATTGTTTTTCGTTCATTAATAGCTACTTTCTCCTCTTTCTTGTTTTTCCAGTATATTTTTCACTGTTAAATGATGCCTTTCTATGCGGAGCGGCACCCAGGCTGCCTCATAAAATTCATTAAAACTCAAGACCATGCCAAGTCCTTTTGTTGGTCTTTGCTTGTCAATGTCATTCTCAGATTGTTGTTATTATTGTTACAAGTAAGATTGTTACTAATATCAGTAAAAGAACCTAGACTCTATAAGATTACATGGACATAGTGCTGCTCTGTTTTTAGAGGATACTTGAGAGTATGGTCTAACAGTTCATTTTTAAAAATTTTGATTTTTTTATTTAAATTAATTATTTAATTTTTGAATTGTTTTGACGTGATGATAAAAATGAATTTTAAAAAAAAATAATAAAATATTATTTTAATGTATGTTAATAGCATATATATATATATATATTATTTCACTTCCTTAACTCTTTTATTTATTTATTTTATCCTTTGATGATTCATTCTTTAGGTTGGAGTCTAACCAACTTGCTTTGGTTTGTTTTATACATGGTTATTGCGGTCCCTCAACTCTCTCTGTTTTTTTTTAAACGTTGTATGGGTTCTTGATTTGGCAAAAAAAGAAAAAAATCAGGCTTGGGGTCTGCAAAGAAGCAAAGACAAAAAGGACTGCATTGGAGAGTTAGGAAAAGGACGAGGAGAAAGTTGAAATTTTTCTTAAAAATGCACTGTTAGTCTAGGGCCTTTTTGCAATTTTTTGCTTTTGGGATTTGGCATAATCGCATTATATTGGAAGTACAGTTTTTTTTTTAAAAAGTCATGTGATCTCCTTGATAGCTAGTAAGCGTATGGAAATCAACAGCAATTCATGGTGCTTTTCACTTGGATAGATTGAATACCCATGAACTTGCAGCTAGGATTTAACACTTCCAATCTTGAGCAACTCCATGTGTTTTTGTTTCCATTTTTTTTTCTTGAGAAAATTATGCAACCCCTTTAGCTATAAAAGCTCAAAAACGGAGTTCATGGCCAACGTAGAATGATAATCTAAAAAATCTGCTGGGTTTAACTTGATTTCAACCAGAAACAAGAAATATTGAAGTTCAGACATGATTTTTTTTTAAAAAAATAAAATTCTTTTACAAATTGAACGTCCCCTGCTCTCTGCCATGGCAGTTTTTCCCAGCTATGGATAGTTAAACACGATGGTGCTTCTTTGTGATTGAAGAAGATTCTTTTCATTAGAATCGAATCTCCCATCGTAGGAAAAGGCTGTGGCGTTAAGATTTCTGGCAGGTGCCTGCAGGCGAATTGAAGTGTCTATTACGCATATAATACTGAAGATCTCTTTAAAGGCTGTTCTAATCTTCTTACAAGTGTCTCTCCAAATATTCTAATCTTCTTACAAGTCTCTCCAAATAGCAAGATCACCCTTATGGTAAATGAAGGGTTTAGAGAGGCTTCCTCCTTGTACTTTAAATTGGCCATTTCGATCTGAACTAGATCTAGGCTACCAAGCTGTTGCTGCTGATTTTGTGACTTGAAATAGGAGGAGCACCCCTCATGAGAACACTCTGAAAGAATGCAATCATCTGCACAGCATTACTTGGCACATTAAATCCATGAGCCAGGAGAAAGAAGGAAAATTCGAGTATTAAAGTAGAAAAGGGAGATTAAGGTAAAAGATCACACCGTTGCAAATCCAATGCACAAAATACTGAAGCCAGGGAAATGAAATGGTGCATCTTCAGACAGGAATAAGGCTGAAGAATAGAAGGAGAAGTTAATGTTATCACTTTAGTCCATATACTTTCGTTCTTGTCAAATTTTGATCACATACCTGTCAGAGGACTAAAGATTAAGGGGGAGATGATGTTTGCGAAGGAGATTATTCCTGAAATGCATCCTTGAGCCTTCCCCTGAAACGAGTCTTAAATGAGTTGAGAGGAAAAGAAGAATAATATGAATGAATCGGGGTATCCTTGTTCCTTTTAAATTCAAAGATTGAATAATTAAAGATGAACTCAAAAGCCATATGACTGAATGGTAGTGCTGGATGGGCTGCACTTGGTGATTTTCTTCTCCATTGACTGTTAAAATGCCTCTTAAAACAGACAGAAGATGGGACCTGATGAGTTTCTGGACAGTTTGTCCGTATAGGAACATCTAGAATATACAGCATACATGGAGGCTATCAAGCCTGCATCCACTCTTAAGAGTTACCTGCTCAGTTGGCCCTACTTGTTTCGATGCGATGCTGCGTAACTGTGGAGTTAGATCAGTGATCAGATTTCTTCAATCACATAGATCTTTCATGAAGATGAAGGTAAATTACTTACACATGGAGGCACGCAAACAATAAAAACCGCAAAAATGGTGGTGGCATAGGGGACCTGCTCACAATGGAAATGTATTTTCAGTATTATACGCAACAGGCATCAGGAAAAAACCATCTTACACATGGTCCAAGATTTCATAAACACAGAAAATCAAAAGACAGAATTCAAAAACTGACATATTACCACAAGCTCGAGAAGGAAAGGATAGTTTTCTACAATAAAACGATGCAGAAAAAATTCCAATTCAGTTGAAGCATTACCCAATTTGACCATGCTACACTGTAAAGCAATGCCTGCAAGATTTCAGGTAAATCACCAACACTTTAGGCTCAACTTATGTTGTTTTAGTTCTTTAGCATGAATAGACGCAAACAAGCCTATTGAGGCTAAAGCTCTTACATCTGCGATGCCCCCTAAAAGCCCTATTGCCAGCAATTTTTCCTCTGCTACATGTGGTGCCAACAAGGGCATGAAAACCAGCTGTGAAATTCAATAGAATAATAAGGACTGGTGACAAACATGAAATGCAAAGGATCGTTGAAGATACTCTGGAGAAGGGAAGAAATATTTAAGAAACACATAATTTTGTAAATGCATACCTGTGAGGCCATTCCCGCAATGCCAAGAAGTAGCATCAGATCAGCATTATGGTTTTTGCTGAAGTGAAAACGAGCCTTCAAGTAGTACTGCATCGCACAAATCATTCAAGTTGGTAACAGAAATTCTCGCATACCAGTCTTGTTTTAATGTTTGATATGCATCACAGTGAAGGAGAAAGTTTTTGTACCATGATGCTAGCTTGCATTCCACCTTCTGCAAGACTATTGAAGAATGCGACAACTGCTGCTTGCGAAAATGTTACCCTGCCACACAAGTTTCACAAATTCTCATATCAATACCAGAAGAAGAATAGCTACCAGTCCAAAATAGTAGTGGTTCGAGTAAAGTGCAAGAAAACCATGCTTTGCATTGGCCTTATACTCGAACCCTGAATTTCTCCTACCTGCTCTTCAGCAAGCCAATGATATCCTGAATTGATGGGATCTTCTTCAATACCGGAGCCTGCCTTGATAAATCACCATCTTGACAGTGATCATCCTGTCCGCTCTTCAAGATTGGCTGCGTCAAATTTTCGCCATTTGGTAGACTCTCTTTGAGGAAAATTCTCATGTACACAGCAGCAAGCATTGACACCAACGCAGCCACCTAGAATAGAAAAGACTAACGATGTCAACTTTCAACCTATTGGTAGCCGAAGATGAGACACTTCTGTAAGGCATTTTCTTAGCAAACGCAACCTGAAACGTTAAAGCAGTGGAGAGGAAACGAGCAGCTAAGGTTCCACAGACAAACGCGGCTGTGGCTATGCCAGATAGAATTCCAAATGCTGATGTTCTCTGTCTCTCTAAAACGTTGTCTGCCTGTAAAGATTTTATGTTTTTTAGGCATTAGCAAAAAGAGTTGAAACTGAACAGTATAAAGTGCCGTCACATGACCTGTCGTTCTTTGCTGTTTTGGAAGGAAGAATGGTTATAAAAAAAACTCGAAACAATTAGAGAGATATTATGGCGGTGCAAGTTGGAGTTTTAAGGGATAATCACCACATAAGCAAGTGCAAGGCAGTTGATGCTGCCTTCACAGATCATAGCCGTGAGGGTCCTGAGCACATAGTAGGCATAGAAGAAGTTGGTTGTCCTACTGTATGCCAATATAACTGCAGAAAGGACAATAACAACATGAATAGGATCTCGAACAAATTCTATTTTCTCATAAAAAATTTCCTTTCTTTTTTCTCTTCATTTTTAACGGAAAATCTCATTTATGGTCATGGCTGATTATTATCATATCATTCAAATATTTATGTTGGATTTCGATCCTGAACCCCAAACTGGCTGGGCCGGCAGGAATTTAACAGCACTGTTGGTAACTAAAAAAACCCTAAACAGAGAACAAAGGCAAAAAAGTTATGGTCCTTGAGCGGATGGAGCACTACAAAATTCAGACGTGCTTTTGAAAATATAGTTATAGTTATTTTTTAAATAATTTTTTATATTAAAATATATATTAATAATCATTTTTTTTATCTTTTAAAAATTATTTTTAACGTAAAAATATTAAAAATATATTAATTTAAAATTAAAAAAATAATTTTTTTAGAATATAAAATACTGAAACTAATAAAACCTGATCCGTCGCAGTGCTATAGATTCTGGGCTGACATGGTTATGACACAAAGCGTCCAGCAACTTCAAATGTCTTCCGACACAAAAATCTGGCAGTTCCTAAGGGGACCATTGCGGGTGTCCACAAAATTCAAGAAACGTGACCCGTCTTGTACCATGTAATACCGCAAAGAAAAGCAAGTTGGACAAAAGGGGATAAAGAAGAAGGCAACCAAAAGAAAAAAAAAGAAGAAGTAAAAATAGATTATTATTAAAAGTTAAAGCATGCATGATCTTCAAGAAAAGAAAGTTCTCTTCTGGATTCATTTCTTCTCCGAGGAATGATTCGAAATCAGAGCCCTCAAAAATCTATAACCATAACGTAATTCTTGTCTAAAAATTTTCAAATACAATTTCTGTTGATATTTTATTATAAGTGGTAAATCCACACCACCACAGAGGATAACATGCTATATAAAAGATAAATAAGTATTTGTTTATTACTGAGCTTCAATATTTTTTTTATTAAAATAAAAAAATTAATTTTTTTTATCATGTTAATATATTGATGGGCTAATATTCAACATAATTTTTTTTAAATCATTATATTTCTAAAAAAAACACTTAGAAAAGTAACTTTTATTACACACAAATACCACCCTCTAAATTTCCTAGCTAAAAGAATTATCTTCAAAAATATTTACAAAATTTGATATATATATATATATATGGTTGTGGTTACTTTTCAAATAATTTTTTATGTTAATATACATGTTAATGATTTTTTATTTTTAAAAAATTATTTTTAACATTAGCACATCAAAATGATTTGAAAACACTAAAAGCATATTAATTGGAAGTAAATAAAAAAATTTATTTTTTTTCAAAATAACTTTTAAAACACATATAACATAGGCATGAAGAGGATTCTTTAATTAGGATTTACATTACTACAATCTTTATATTTACCGATGAAATTTTTGGTCGGTATTTGCACTATCATTTCATTAGTAATTAATTTACTAACAAAATTACTGACGAAAATGATCCGTCAGAAAATCCTTCTCGGTAATTTTTTGTCCATCGGTAATAAAAAATTATTTTACCGATGAAAAAAGCATTCAACAAAAAAATTATCCGCTTCATTCCATCGGTAATTATTTAAAAATATTTTAAAAAAATCTATTTTAAAAAATTATAAAATAATTAAATTAATATAAATCAACACTATGTAATACTTGAAAAAAAGAAAGAGAAAATTAGCTCAAACAAATTTTCAACAAATAAATAACAAGAAAAAATAAATTCAACTAAAAAAATTCATATGAAAAAGATAAAGTTGCACTTGCTAAAAATTTAAAAATCCTATAAATAAATCATCTAAAAATTAATCTCATATGGAAAAAAAAAAATCTACAACACCATTCTTATAATTATTAAGAAAAAAATTAAAAACAAAATAAAAAATAGTGAAAATAAAAACTAAAAAAAAATCTTACCTCAATGTAGTTGCAAATGAAGTTAAGAAGAGAAAAAAAAACATAAATTATATTAATTGAAAAAAACTAAGAAGAAAAAAGAAGGTGAAAAATACATACTTGAGCATGAAGGAGAATAAAAGGAGTTAAGGAGAAAAAAAAATAGAAAAAAAGAGAAAAGAAAGAAATGAATATTGATATTTTTTACATATATGAAAGAAGAAAGGAAAGAAGAAGAAGAAGAAAAAAAGAACCTGATTTATTGTGAAATTAGGGGTTTCAAAATTTTTATTTAGGTGTTTTAATTTAATAAAAAGTTTTTAGAAATCGTCAAATATCACTAACGGCTTTTCAATCCATCGATGATTCTGTTTATAATATTTAATTTAAATTTTCAATGTAATCGATTTTTTTAGAAATCCGTCGAATAACACTCTTTTGTCTCTAAAAAACAATAATTAATAATACAATTGAACAGTGAACAATTCTATAGTTTTTTGAAAAATATCGATGAAATTTTTGTTGGTGATTTCATCTCTAATTAACACAATGAACAATATTAATATTTTATCAATGAAATTACTGATGAATTTTACAGACAAAATAAATCCGTTGGTAATTTTATTAGTAAAAAATAACCCGTCATTATTTTTTTGGCCTTGTTAAATTTTTTTTTCACTATAATTCTCTCGATATATACTATATATGATATATACTATACATTGAGAGTGTATTCATCAGTAAAATTTATTAATAAAAATATTTTTTTAAATATTTTTATTTTTATTTATTGATTTTCTGATAATTAATTTTTTAAAAAAAAAAAACAGAGGAAAAACGGAAAGCAGAAA